AAAATATATATATATATATATATATATTTTTTTTTGTTTTTTAAAAATTTTTTATAATATTTTTTTAGATTCCCTTAATATCATGCCACATACATGAATATTTTAATTTTCATTTTATTTGCTCTTTATCATTTTCCAGAGTACTATTTTGAATCGATCCGGATTGTCGATCCAACGATTCAATACAAACTTGTGGGTGAATACCTTCTACCGATCTGTTTTTTTAAATATTGTTATTATGAAAAAACAAAACTAGAATTAGAACATAGGTTTTAATAGAGACAAGGGACGATGATGGCGTTGTGGGAGTTCTTTCCACTTGTTTACATGGATAGAAAAGTAAAGTTTAAAGAAAGAAGTAAAAAAAAACTTTAAAATAAAGGGAAATTAGTTTATACTAAATTGGAATATGCTGAAGGGGACTTCCAACCATAGTTTATTTTTTAATGGCTATTTTCCCTATTTAATTAATATTTTTTCAAAATAAAAAATAAGTTGGGTTGAAGCCTGTCGGTGACCGGCTTCGTTAGGTTTGCGGGACAAGACGTAACTTGTAAAACAATGCCTTGCAGGTCCACAAAGGCTTTGGCTTGGCTCCATGGCTAAAAGCTTGTTTGGCTGGGCTAAAATAGTCGGGTTTAGATTTACAGATTTAGAGACGGGGCAAAGTGAGTTGTTTTTCTAAAAAATCGCCTAATAATTATTTTATAAAATTTATTTACCATTATGATTTAGTTGATTTAGATAGTAAGTCTGGCCGATTTGGGTTGGTAGAGTGAGTGAGATTCAAAACCGGATTATGGGATTTGAAGCATTACTTCAAAAAAGTTGGATTGGCTTGATGAGCCTGGGCCGATCCGAATCGATGGGAAATAGGGAAATTTAATAATACTAAATAAAATATGCGATAATATCTAGAAGCTATGAATATAGATCAACCAACTCAATAAAATCCATTCGGATTGGTCAATTCTGATCTATAGGAAAAAAATTGACATGATAGCATTTAGTTTAGCTCATGCAATCACGAAGGTCCGTTGTCAACAAAAGACGGTCAAGATGAATTGCTTATCCAATGAAGTGTCTCCTATTCGGTTGGGTGATTGGCATAAGCAGAGGAGGCGGTTCATAATTATTGGTTCATGATGTATTTAGCATGTACTAAATAAAGAAAAAAAGTTTGTCATAAAGCCTCAATCTTGTAATGCAACCCCAAAAGGATTCCTAACTGGGGTTGTAGTGGAAGTATCACTTAAGCTCCAATGAAAAGATCACAATTTTTATTTTTTAATTTTTTTTTAAAAAGAGTTGACTCTTTACAAATAGGGTTGGGGCATGTAATTCCCACTGACTTAATCCAAACAAAAAAAAAAAAAAATCTACTATAAAATGTTGTTCTAAAGTAAGATAAAATCCCAAATTGATCGTCTTACATCAGGATGTATGGATATGAAAAAATGATTTTAAGTACAGAAAACATAATGTCTAGTATAGTAACACAATATTTGTACTTTGATTTTTAATATTTTCTAGTGTTTGTAATATGTTTGATTTGTATTATTTTTAGAAGTTCAAAGTCGTGAAAATAGATTTTCAGGTCATTATGGGACTTTCTCACCATGTTTAAAAGGTTTACAGGTATGACATTTCTAAAATATCAATTTTGAAATGAAAAATTGTTTCATGCGGCAAAACAAATATGGATTACCCCAAGACAATCAAAGCGCTGCGCACCTTTTATGGCTCAAGCCGTGAATGCGAGCTGAGTCCCGTGAGATACATGTGGTCCACACATGGGATGACCCAATAATGGATGGCAGGTGCGCGGTGTCGGTGAACCCTCCCCTCTCCCTTTTTCTCTTTCTTGTGGTTGTGTTTTGGAGGCAAGACGGATGCCTTGGCTTGGAGCGAGAGTGACAGCCTAACCCACCATACCAACATACACACTACACACCTCTAAATTCCTTGAAAGCAAAGACTCCAATCACTCTCACAATAAAACCATCTTTAATGATGATAATATATATGAAACCTGATTCAGTAGACTGGCAGGTAAAAATACGTTTAACGGTCAATATTGAATTTGGGCTGATCTTAATGTCACAACCTCATGTCATGTTTAAATTTTAATTTTAATTTTTTTACAAATGTAAATAACTTGAAATTTTAGACATGTGATCTTAAA